TTCCCTTCCCTTCCCTTCCCTTCCCTTCCCTTCCCTTCCCTTTTCACTGTGAAGAGTTGCATCTTTCTTAAAAGAGACTGAGGCTTTACTCTTTAGGACGCATCTGGACTTAAACAAAAATCTAAGTGACATTTTCATTTTAATTCTCTATATTTAAAAACACAAAATAGTTTGCACTAGAAAAAGGCCCTGGTGGTGGATAGGGACTGCAATATTGATATTGTTGAACATTCTGTGTTTCCAAGTTGCTTTTCATCATGAGTCAGAATATTTTGAGTTACGTGGGTTTTTATTGTTGTTATTAAATATTTTACATTTAAGAAAGCAAAATCAGACTCATTTTGGCTAACTCCATCTCAGAAGAAATTCTTCCACAGGGTAGATTTTTCTGCTACATTGAGTAGCCATGTATGGCTTTGCGACACTTCACCACGGCAACCTGCTATCTTTTGATCTTCCATGATTTACATTACTGACTCTTTGAAGCAGGGGCTCTAATATTGAGTTTGTGCTGAGAAGAAACCATGATCACTTTTAAAGCTATAAAAATAAATCTAATGCAGCACTCTTAACAGCTTGAAATCCTAAATATTTAGTTGAGGCTGGCTAGACTTTCTCCCACAGGAACAATGTATTTGTTAAACAAAAACTATTGCAGAGGACTTGTCATTCTTTTTGACTAGAAGAAGAAGAAAGTGTAGCAGTATAGATATTTTCAGAATTTTTCAGAAACTTAGTTACTTTTGACGTAGAGACAGGAAAAATGAAGTAAAGGTACAGTATCTAAGTGCATGTAAATGTTTTTTTTTCAGAGTTAGCAGGAGACAAATCCAAAATGTTTGAGAAATTTCATTTTGTATGAGGTCCTAGAAATATCAGACTTTAATCTCAACTCCTGTAAACCTGATAGGGTAGGAAATAGGACTGCATGTTCTGGGGGGGGCTGTGTTTCTACTGCATCTGATAAGACATAAACACCCTGAGGATGGATGATACAGAAGGATACTGAAGTTTTTATGAATGCCATAAAATACAATCTTTAGGCTTTAGCTGAACAAGAACAGAAGCCTCCCATGGTATATACACCACACTGAAAAACAAGAAGCATCGACCTGAATTTGGCAGGGAAGTTTTAAGTAAAGGCAATGTAAAAAGAATTTGTGTCTGAATTTTTAGATCCAAATTTTATTTTAAAGAAGAAAATATTTGGCCTAAAGATCTATAAGGAATGAAAAATAAAGTATTGAAGGAACTGTGTGAAGAAGTGCTGTGTGTGGCTGAGTGGTAGCACACATCATAATTCCCAGGAGTCTACTCCACACCTAAGCACATAATAAACATCAGCTTCCTGTTTCATCCTCACTTTCCTACTTTTTCCTCCCTGGAGAAGGTCCAGCCTCCTCATCTATCCTAAGTATCTGCACTTCAGTAGGCAAAATTGATTAACTGCCACAGCATGTGCTAATGGATCACAGGTAAATGGTCATTTGAGGTGGTCTAGGAAAATTTATCTAATTTCTCATCAGACGAGAGAACAGTGTGAAGGAAATGTCTCTAGATGCAGGCTTCACAAAGAAAGATCCAGGCTGAAAAGAAGTGAAGTAAAGCACCAAGTCCAGAAGCACCTAGAAGATTAATATAAGGAAACACAGATTAAAGCACAGTTCCATTGGATTTGATTGATAGTTGGACTAGATGTTCTTGAAGGTTTTTTCCAGTCTAGATGACTCTAGGATTTTAGGATCCTATGGCCTGTGGCTCCAACTGCTCAATGCTCTCTGCAGATGAGATGATGGTTCAGTGAATGTTAGAACTCATGGAGCACTCTGTGATCTGAAAGAGATACAATCAGAATTAGAGGAAAACGCAACTGATTTTCACTGATAGTTAATGGCATTTTTTAAGTCCCTCTTTTGCAGTCATGATTTTTAAAGAAATACAATGTCTTAAAAAAACCCAACAAAATAGAACTTTTTTTTCTGTCTTCCAGAAAAAATAGAGGGATACTTGCCCTACATTTATATCATCCTGGTTGTCTTTTTTAATTTTGTCTTGCTCTCTTCCCTCTTTTTTCCCATCAAAACAGGGAGGCACAAGCAAAACCATACAGATCCAAGCAGAACAGCCCTGCTGTTCATTACTTGCTCCACTACTGAAAGCAGGTGCAGAGCTATTGGGCCATGAGGTTGCCATGGTGCATTGCTGATGGGCTTCCAGTGATGTAACACCACACACATGGCTTCTGACGCAGAGCTGCACGTACAGGCTGCAGGGGAAGGATGATTTAGACCACTGTCAGTCATATAAAGTTTTCATGAGAGCTTAGACACACCACTTTCATTAATTCTGATGCTACAGTAGGAACACAATGCCCTCTGGAAGTTAGTGGGGCTGCATCTCAGGAGCAGCTTTGAAATCCTGTCATTCAGTCTTTTGAAGTGCAGTTTGAAAAGCATTTTGCTTCTTTAAGGCAACCAAAATCTCCTTCCATTTACAAGTATGTTATTAGTAGGGAAATGGTTAGGAACATTTTTCATGGCATTCATCTATCGAATGATCATTTTTTCTCTTCTTACCAGGCCATTTTGGGTAAAATGAATTGTGAAGCTCAATAAACATAATTGCTGACTCCACTTCATACAAGCAAGCTGTCAAGAATTAAAGTCCTTAATAGACATTTAATGGTGGATGAAATGAACTTTCTCCTCATTATTGGAGTGGCTTATTAGGGCAGGTTTCCCTCTATAAGGCAGCTACCTAACTCACCTCTCAGGCTGGTATCTGAAAGTCCTGCTCTGACTGCCAACTTCAGCTTCCCTAATCTGGAACCCTTACAATAAAACTCCTTTCCAAATGGTGTTATGTGAGAACCATATAGCAGCCATCTTCCTGAAATTTGCTATGTAATTCACATTTTCACAGATTCACAGAGATCACCATGTTCTTCTCTTTTATGTCCTTTTATATGGAGCTTTTAATGTCTCTCTCCCATTCTAAGTTAAAGGCTAAAAAAAAAGTCAACTGTGCTCTTTGCATTTTCCTGCTCTGACATTATGCCTTATGTACAATGCTGAATTTTTAGAATGGGTTTTCCTGACCATTTCTCCTTCACCTGACCTGAATGTAAATAGCACATTTGTGTCTCCCCACTGGCTAGAAGCTGAGCTAAGAAAATCAGGATCAGACAAAAGGTTCTTCTAAAGCTACCATCTATGTTATATGGAATCTCAGGGTTGTAGCTTGTTGCAAGGAATCAAAGCAGTGACTTAAGTTCCCTACAGTGTGGCTTCAGCACAAATAAGGGAAACACTTGTGTAGCAGGGAGACAGTCAGAGATTGTTCTAACACACTTGGGAACACAGGTTACTGCCATGGGTCCAGGAAAGGTATGATCACATTGCTCATTTCCAAAGCTCTGGGCAGATGAGGCTGAGGTGAGTGGGTAGAAAAGATGTGGCTGGGCTATGAAATCACTGGGACTATTTCCAGCTCTGCTGCACATTTTCTCTAAGTGTGCTCACTGCTGGACCAGGCACTCAACTTTCCATAGCTTGCATCTGACCTGGCCAAGTTAGTTTATCAGCTTTTACAAAAGCTGCATCTAATCTGTGCCTAAATACTTGCAGGCTTCCTCCTGTACTTGACAGAGGTAAAATATTATGATCTGTGAGAAGTTTGGAAACTGCAGTGAAGTGCCATAAAATATCTGTGTAGTAATTCGCATAAAATAAGATAGCAAGAGATTAATGCATATGGCTGTGTGAACAATAATGATTTTAAGTTCTTATTTGAGGGTTTAAATACGAGATGTGAAAAGCCATGTATTTTCCAGCATGGAAAATACCTTCTTATGCATGCAGCTTGTGGAAATCTGGGAGATTTTTAGTTCCCCCTGAAGTAATTGGAATTCTAGCTATGGACTTCATTAGATCTGGATTTTGCCTCAGCTTTTGCACTAGGAACAGAGAATTAGATGCTGCTATGTACATAACTTTGGATTTGTAATTGGCCTGGCATTATATATTCAGCAGGAGTTGTAGTTACAGTACAGCATGTAGCAGTATCTCCCAGTCAATGAGAGGCACTAAGTAATTCTTATCAAGTGAGCCAGCATATTCTTTTCCTATTAAATAGAAGCTCAAATTCAACTCTGGCACCTTTGGCAGAGAAATTATTAAATGATGCAAACAGAAAATTTTTGCTTAAACAAATTACTTTAGGAGAATAGTGGAAATTTTCTGTGTCTGAAGTGTCAATTCTGGCAGAGGCACTCAACAGATTTTCTTGTTTTAGAAAGATATCCTAGCTTATCTTAATCTTATAAGATTATAGGTAATTGATCTGTCCTAGCATGTTCAAGCTTGAGAGCAACAAAAGAAGGTGTCTGGATGCTGCAATTAACTGTGATGGCTCATCTGTACCCACTTTGCATGCTACATGAGCACCGTATATGAACTGTTGAGTCACTGACTGAACCACTGATTGATCACCTGAGGAAAGGACTGAGTCAGCAGCCATGGGAGCACTGGTGAAGGCAATTCTCCTACACCCTAGACCCCATTTAAGGGCTGACTGCCCACTGGGGAGGTAGAATCTCTTTCTGGAGATCTCTGTGGAGTTTTTCCTGTGCACACAGGTATTTGGATACAGGTAAGCATTTATCCCCCATTTGTTTCTTTTCTCATTTTCACTTGATAATCTTTCCAGCTGTAACAGCAACTGTAACAGGCACAAAGATTTTTCTTCTGCCGCAAGACACAGAGGATGTCATGCTCCTTTACCGTATCCCTCACACTATGCTTTTACTACTGTGGAAAAGAGATGGAGTAGGCAGGTGCAATATCCAGTCATGCTACAGAGAAGCTGAAACTTTTCCTTACAAATCCCAGAACCTAAATGTTTTTCTAAATATTGAGGATTTAAAAAAAAATCATTTCTGAATTGAAAGTCTCTGGGGACAGTGTCGGGGAGAGTCCTTGTGAGCATTTTTGGAACGTTTGGGAAGAGGTCCACCTTTATGGCTAAGCTGGATGGGGACCTGGACAGCCTGATCCAGGGGTTGGGGGTTGGAACTGGGTTATCCTTAAGGTCTCTTCCAATCCAAGTCATTCTGTAATTCTATGATCTTTACAGAGCTGACTGGGGAAACTTGCAGGGGCTGGTGTCGGAAAGGTGTGAGGGCTGCAGAGCTGCTGTTGCCTGAGCAGAAAGGGAAGGCCAGGTGTAGGAAAGAAGGCCATGAGGGAAAGAAACAGCAGGTTTGGGTATGGCAGTCATACAGAGCAAAGTAGCCATGATTTATTTACCTTGGAAAGGCTTACAGCCTTACTGAGGAAAAGCTTACTCCTCCTTACTGAGAAAATTAAACAACTTGAGTGTTGAGTATAGAATTGTGTATGTTACAGTTGCTTCTCAGGAGGTTTCACAAATGGCTCTAAATCTCACCTCAACCCCCTCCCACCTCCCTTCCCCTTACATAAACACTTATTTGCCTCCACAATCCTTTGCCAGGAACTCTGAAGGGCTGACCAAGAGGGGTACTACTTGTATTAATTAATCAGTGGTATCTGCAACAGCACCACCATGATGGGCATGTGGATCTACTCCTCCACGTCCCCAGGCTGGCCAGTGTGGTGGGGCTGGTCCAGTGTGTGAAATAGCAGAGCTGCTGCCCTGCACATCAAAGCCCACCTGTTCATATCAAAAGGCTAACATCAAAGTGCTGTCCAGCCACTGATTGCCCCCTCACCCCATTGTGACTGGGTGGAGGGCTTTCATCTCAGGGCCTTTTTTTTTTTTTTCTCTTTTTTTTTTTTTTTTTTTTTTTCCCTTCCCTTGAGTGGGATGGAAGCTGAAGACAGCAGGAACCTCTCACAGCAATTCTGGTCTTCCCACTTTGCATTTCTGTGATACAGCACCACATGCACAATTTTATTTGGTGTAACACTCATGCTCATTTGCTAAAATCCTGATGTAAAACTCCATTTCTTGTATTCAGGCAAGCTGCACTCTAGCAAAGGGCACCTTTTTGGAATACTCCTCAGCAACTTGTGTGAGGCTCTGAATCAGGTGAAAAATCCTGATTGACCCCTAAATCAGCACACATCAAAAGAGCATCCATCATGACTTCTGAACTTCATAAATGACCATAGGAGGCTGCTGGAGATAACCCTTTAATATTATCTTCATTTCTTCTATGATACTTCTATTTTATTCTGTATCGTATGAAAGATAATTAAATGAAGGTCAACTAAAGTTAAAACATCTATTCAGTAGGTTTGAGCCCATTTCCACACATGTGCTCTGTGAAAAGGGGCTATAAACATGAAATCAATTTCAATTACGTGTCCTGATACCTAAGAGATAATGAGCTGATTTATAAGGATGGTACATGATGCAAGAACGCATTCATTCATGGTTTGTACAAGAATATTAATGACTGGTGCATCGAATGCTTTGCAAATCTGCAACATTTCAGGATGTGTAAGCAATATTGAAGTACTGGACTGCTAAGAAAATGCAGTTAAGCTATTGTGATGCTGTAGTGGCAATGCTATGTCACAGCTTGAGCCTGTGATAGAGCATCTGATGGGAAGGCAGGGCCAACTCAGGGGAGCTCAGATGCATGCAAGGGTGCAGACAGGATCCATCCCTTTCTACCTTATTAAGGGTTGGCAGTGGAGGTAAAGGTATCTTGCTGGAGATCTTTGACTACCTGAAGATAAGCAGCCTACTGAAGGTAAATAGCATCTCTCCTTTATTCCTGTGCCCATGACTGTGGTATTTGAGCAAACTCTCACTTGCTGCAGCCTCAGACCTTGCTTTTCTGCTCTCATTGATATGTGTTCCATCACATTATAAATGCCTTATTAGTTACTGTTACAAGTTATGTAAATTCAAACAGGCATAAAAAGTAGTGAATTATCATGAATGAGCAATCCACAGTTTAGGAACATTTTCTTAGTAGCTGTTCTCATTCATGAAAAGAGCAGTACTGAAGAAGTTACAGCTTAGTGAAATCAGATCAGCTTTGATGACATGAAGAGTGCCATCAGTAAAAAGCTGGTTAAATTTACCTAAAAGTACCTTTTGTTTATAACAAATGAGTAATTATCTTCATCAATTATTCAGATGGCTTGACTTCTTATATGTATATTTTGTTGAGCAAAAAATAGTATTGTTGAAGTAATCATCTTGCATCACAGAAAGCATATTTTCACATTGCATTAACTGTCATAGCTACAGTTTTATTATAATGGAGGACCTGCTGGTATTTCTGATTCCATAATAACCAAACTGACCCTGCAAAACTAAGTTGAAGTTCAATAATACGTTTTCTTCAGAACTCCCTAGTAATTTTAATCTTAAGAGAAATTTTTAAGAAACATATCTTTGCACACATAAAACACCATGATTGAAGAGGGAGGGGAAAAAAAAAAAGCATGAAGCAAGAAGTAAGGAATAGCGTGTAAGTGAAGCAGAATAAGATTTTACCCCACTTTTTAGGAGTGTTCTGGGTAATTTTTTTTTTATCTTGACGTCACAGGTTGTAAAAGCAGTTTCTTTCTCTGCCAGCCTGTCCTGGTAGCTATCTGCTGTTGTAATGAAGGCTCTTTGTTAATGCAGACAGCACTTGATGGTGGAGCAGATAACCCAGCTGTTTGCAATTGAGGCACTGATACTGACCTCTCTGGTTGCCACCTCAATTACTGGTGCAGAGAGAAAGAGAGAATTCTCTCTGTACTCTACAGCAACCTGTAAGGCTAGAGAAGATAAAGGAGAAACAGCAGCAGTTTGTTCCTTTGCAATGAGGAGTAAGCAGTCAGTGGGCTTCCAGTTTGTTGAACAGAAAGCTTAGGAAGCACCATCTCATTTGAAGAGAAAAATAGTCTGAGGCACACTATCAACAGAAGCAATGTAATTGTTTATCAGGCTGGATAGCTGAGGTGCCCCTCTGTACCCTAAAACGCTGAGGAAAAACACTTCTGAGATGCAGGCTAAATGTCCCACTGCAGGTGAATGGCCACCAGTCAAGCTGATGAAAGTCTAGGATGGGCACATGGAAAAAGGATGAGGATGCAGGAAAATGAGAAATACTTTGAAGTTCTTTCTAAATCTTGACAGACTTATCCCACTAAGAAACTGTGTGTCATTTTGTCTGAACGTTTCACAGTTTACTTCAGTAATTACATGTTGCATTTTCTGTTTAAATCCTTTATTTTTAAATACAGGAATCCATCAAATAATGCCTGTTAGAGCAGTCACTTATCTGAGAATACACAATTAGTCCCTTCCCTCAGCAACTCTTACCAGTTACTGGTATGAATGCAATAGGAGGTGTTTCAAAAGCTTGTTCCTATGGATTTTATAATGGATTTTTTAAAAATGATATTATTAATGCCATCATATCCTTACAGAAAGGAGTATGTCTGCTGCTGTTCCTCCCGTACTGACAGCTCTCTTGAATCAATCCTAGTAACTGTAAATCATAATTAAGGAAGATGACAAGAAAACATCATGTCTGAGACTTTCCACTGCGGTGTGAAAGTAATTGCATACTAGCATCCCTGGTTTGCTTTCATGAGCTTTCATCCCTGTCAGCACACAAAGCCCCTCACTCCGGTGATCTTCCTACTGTGTACTCCAGCAGTGGATTTGGCTCGCTGGTTTTCACATGGTGAAAGTCAGGAGGAATTTTCTCCCTGGGGAAAACAACAAAAATAAAAATTAAATGTAGATTAACAAAACTGAAAGAGTTTGCTTCAATCATTTACTTTCAGTAAAATTCAAAGGTGAGGTGACGTTGCAGGAGGGGGGGATGAGTGTTACTGGTACTTTTGGCTCTGGAAGATGTTTGCTGTCTCTCTCTTCCTGTTTGCTCCAGTTTCATTAGTTTTTCCCAAGTCCATCTACATTAAAAACAATTGCTTAAACGAACATCAATGAAAAAAGAGAGACCTAAGTTGAGAAAGATCATATTAACTCTTATACGACTCACTTTTCTTCCAGTGAGGATTTAATGTATACTTATAGCTCAAAACTGAGCGATCCAAGAAAAAAATGAACACTGTTCTCATGGATTTAACTTAAATTTCAGGAGAATCCAGTCACTGTCCACTGCTGCCGCAAATGATAGGTTTTGGCTGCATGCCAGGAACGTGGCTCAGGAGACACCCATGATGCTCTCTGGATGCCTAGTTGCTGCTATCATGTATTCCACCTGGATTTAAGCAGCAAACTGGGTGCTATTGATTCCCCATGGTAACGCAAGATTCAGAATGGGCTTCATAATAATTGGACAGGCTGCCTGCTTCAACATGTGTACTGTGTTGCACTCAAGAGAGTGAGCTTAAAGATAGCTCAGAATGTTGCCACAAACTGCAGTCATACCACCAGACTGCTAAATATACTTGCCTTTTGAAAGTCCTAGATTCTGCTGATTAGGTGTGAGGAAAGGAAAACAAAAAAAAGCTGAAAATTAGCTTTTTAACTTTCAGAGTTTGACAGGGAAGCATTATCGTGCCAGCAATTCAGTATATATATAATTCCAATGCAGAAATTATATTCAACCAGATGTCCTTACTCCAGTCAAACAATATAATATGTCATGTCCGCCAGTCTTAAATTGCTTTCATTTTACCTACTTCCCTACAATATCACTTCATCAAGAAGGAAATCCCATGAGCTCTATCTTGAATTGACTCAGGGAAAAACGCATTGCTGGGTTTTCTAGTCAAAACAGTTTGTAGGCAACCCATTGCTGTCCTTTCATTTATGACTCTAAATCTGATGCTTTGTAAATCTTGCTTTGTATCAGCAGAACCCAGAAAGGCTGCAGAGGAGCGTGATCACAGAGGTTTCTCTCTCAATTTTCTTTCAGATGAACCTAAAGATTAAAACTGAGAAATGTTCTCCTCCTATTCGCAGTCTTAGATCTGCTCTCGCCAAGATGGAATAAACACTTGGCATCTCCAGTAACTTTTGTCTTCCTGAGTTTGAAGACTTGGAGATCTGTTCGACACTGATGTGTTCCCTGGCCCTTCTCTGTTTCTTGGTTTGAAGGGAGGAAGAACACTGGCAGTTGGTCTCTGTCAGGTCTACCAACAGTCTCATGAGCTCTCCAGTACTGTCAGGAGGTGGGCCAGATGCCTAAACCCAGGCCAGGGCACTGCTCCTCCAGATGTCCCAGGATCAGCTTCAACCCAGTGTTTCTGTTTAAAAGGCATTTGAAATGATCCCAACATTGCCAAGATGAAACTACTGACAGAATTTTTCTCCACTGACACCCAAGTGAAATCTTTTCATTTGTAAGTCACTGCAGTGATTTAAGGGTGCTCAATTTCTTTATTTCTTTATTTTCTTTCACTGAATGTGGAACCAATCTGCTCTCAGTGCTTACTTACATGTTACTGGAATGGATCATCATGAGGCATTGAGATGTCTGCTATTAGCAAAGCCAGAAAAATTCCAATTTCATCAGAAAAAACATTTTTTCCCCCTTCTTTTGTTTCCCATAAAATCCTATCAATGATCGTTAAGCAAGCTCCAAATTCACTGAATCAACACTATTTGTACCAAATTTTTCTTCTTTTCACTCCATTAAGAACTAAAGCAGCCACAGCAGAAAAACTGGAATAAGTCAAGAAAGCAGAATGCTGAGATTTTTATTACTAAAACTGGGCTGCAGCTGTAACTCCCAATGATCTCTGAGGTTTACTGAATTAAAACCAACACTAAAGTTGAAACCAGAGTTTTGCAAGTATTCTTTTACTTGTACTGAGAAATTTCTTTTTGTGGGTTTTGTTCTACAGCCTAATAGCAACTGGCTATTAGAGCAGTGAAGTCTGGTTTGAAGACCAAGCATCATCACTGAGCTAATTTGTATGTCATTCTGAATGCTATTTTACTGTTTCTACGTACCAAATTTCTCCAGTGCTCCTATTTCTAAAAGAGGTGCTGTGTTGATTCAGATAATTTTGACGAAGAATTATCACACAAAGAACTATTTTTGCAGATTCACTCTAAAAATAACATGGCCTTATTCCACCCTAATACTTTTTCCTGCAACTATCTTTATAAGCAGCTTAGAAAGGTTCTCCTGAGAGCTACCAATAAAAACAGCCATCCGTTGCGATTTTGACTGTGCAAGTAAAGTCTAACTGCTCCATCTGTATAAAAGGTGTCCAGATCTCTTGATGATGTATAGCACTTGCTCTGGTTGTAATAGCATTGCCTCACAGGGATGTCTGGTGGCACTGGGGTGGCTGTGGGCCCGCTGAGCTCTCCATGATGCATTCAATATCTTTCTTTTTCCTTCTCTTTGCCATTTAATTTAATAGCACTATTTCATAGGATAACTCAGAGAATTCTCATCAAATTTACCATAATCCCCAGAGCTTTTAAGGGGTGGAACACAGTTTATAGGTTGAATTATAGAAGTTACTTGTCCCCATTGTCCATTGGTATCAATCAGCTCCTGGCAATGACTCTCAAGAGAAAAATTCTAGCTATTATACTCATTAATGATGTAAGTACTCTTGGGTCAACTGATGGTTGAAACATGGTCTTTATATGTCCTGCATCCTACAGGTTTCACTATGCTGATAAGTAATGTAAATACAAGTAAGTTCACTCAAAGACGACATTATCCTATAACTTTTTATTTCCAAACCTCTTAAAAATGAAAATTTTTCATTGTAAGGATAGTTTTGATTAGCTTCTGGGTCCATCTACCAGAAGGGAAGCTTACTTGATCCACCACCTCTGAGCTGTCAAATGTTCAAAGTGCTTGTTTATATGTCCTGGGATTTGGTAAAAAATAAAACTGATGCTCAGAGTAAGTTAGTGAACATTTGTATGGGAACTGCTGAATCATGGCCTGAACCTCTGATTGATCACCTGAGGCGAGCAATGAGTCAGCCACAGGAACACAGGTGAAGGCAATTCACCTGTGCTGCTGGAAGGGGTGGAGCCAGGCTCCACTTCTCCTAGATCCATTTAAGAGCTGGTTACAAGTGGGGAAGGTTCTCTTCTGGAGATCCACTCTGCTGGAATTTCACTTAGCGACCCCAGGGTACAGGTAAGTGTCCTCTTTTTCTCTGCTTTAGCGTAATAACTGTGTAGCCAAGCTCTCTGGCATACCTCATAACTATAATTTCTGTACATTCATTGACTGTACAATATTCCATAAGATTCTATCTCAATTATGTGCCTCCTTTTTGTTCACTGTCTTTTTAATCTCTATTTAAATGCAACTTCGTATCTGTACTTGTATTTTCTTTCCTAACAAATTTTCTTTGTGGCTCAGTGTTAGTCAACCTGATGCAGTTTTTCTGTTTACTTAATTCTTCAAAATAGATTAATTACTATATGTAAATTAAAAATTTAACCAGTTCACTTGATAAATATAACATGAATCTACTTTTTTTTTTTTTTCTGTCCCTCCTTTGTAGAGCCTAGGGAAAAAAGAGAAATTAGGCAATCTCTTACAGATTTTAACTTCTAAAGAGAATTTCAGAAATCCGTTTGAGGAATCATAGAAGTTGAAGCAGAGTACGTACTTCAGCTTTTAGTGACTGGAGAACCATCCCTATAATGCTGTTGCTTTCAGACAGGATGGATAGCCCCTTTTATTCTCTCTGCTCCAAGACTTGTGTCATGAGGAGCGCATATCTTTCTGCTGGAAGGACATTGCCAAGGAGCATTTCAGTGGAGCTGAGTATGTTAAAATACTTTGTAAGAAAGATTTGCTTGAGCCACTTCTTTGTCATCATCATTTCCATTGCTCTTTCCACAGTATGTTTTGTATGTTCTACATGGATTTATTTTCATTCCCTGCTTGCAATTTTGAGGACAAACAAGAATGAGGAGAGGTCAGAGGACAGAGCAAAGGGTTATGTAGAGATGTACTGAACTTGGTGGGTATACAGGTGCCGAGTTGGTGCTGCTCCTCTGAATCCATTGGTCTGGGGTATTTGTCCAAAGCTACTAAGGTTTCTGCATATGCCAAATAATGAAAATCTCAACTTCTCATAAGAATACTTGCACATTGCTTCATGTGGCTTTGAAACACTTGCAGACTTATAATAAGAGCAACTACAAACACACAATATTAACAATTTTAGTAAAACTTCTAGGATTTTCATATAGAGTGGAAGAGAAAAGAATGGGGAAAAAAAGTAAACAGAGCACCCACCCAAGGAGTGTCTCTCTGGGGAGATGTCCACCTCTAGCACTCAAGTGAAAAGGTGTTTGTCTGTGGTTAAGGCTGCAGCAAATTCTGTGACTCTTATCAACATTTAAAAACTACCAGTGAACAAATCTCTCTGCTTAATGATTCATATGCAATTTGAAATGGAAATAAAGTGATATGTTTGAAGTCTATATTATGCATTTAAATAGATTAAAGAGAGACTAAACAACCAGTGATAATACATGCGTGCATCAGCGCAGGAGAGGATCAAGTCTCTCAAGTTTCAAGATTGCTAAGAGGCTTCCCCTGGTGAAAAACTGGGAGGAGAGCTAACTTACAGGAGGATTAAAATATATTATCCTACAAGGTAAATTAATTATTCTTATTGTACCAGGATGTTTTTGATCCTCAGACGAAAGTTTTGCAGGCTTAGGTAAGAATATCTTGGATCTCTGAAAAGTTAGAAGCAGACTTGTCAACTCAGAGGAGTAAAAACGAAGACACAAAGATTATTAATATTCTTGTTAAACTTTGCTTTTGGAGATCCAGACTCAAGAAGAGCTTGGATGGAGAGTTTACAGTCAAGGAGTCTCTTGCTTTGGCGTGACAGTCAAGCATTGGTGGTAATGTCAGAAGATAGGGTGCTTACCCTTCCCTGTGACCTTCCCTGCACATGCAACTGAGCTATGTGGAATGGCTTCTTCCTATCCAGAAATACTGACAGAAATGGATCCTGCCTGACTTGTATCAGAGCAGTCCTGACTGAAGGAATATGGTAATTATTTACTGTACAGCACTTTTTAGGAAGTGTTTTGTTATACATACTTAGTTGTAACTCTTCAATTCTTTCCCTTGCTAGAATGTTAAAAGATGTAGTAATCTTTTTTTTTTTTTTTTTTTTTTTTTTTTTACTTCTCTTGGGAGCTGCTCAGAATAACTCAAACTAAATCCTTGTGGAGAAATGATCTTTTTATTACCTACGTAGAACACCATAATTTTCATGCCAAGTAAACAAGAAAGCCAGCAGCTTATAATCAAGTTGTAGTTTGTAGGCAGAGCAAGACAATCACTTTCCAGCCTTGGGAATCTGACACCCAGCTCCAACTAAAAGTCAATGTGATTTTCAAAGTGGTTGCACATGTAATAGGACTCGTGTATTAATAGGGCCCTCATTTTAAGAAGTATATTTGGCCATCAGCTCCATGATTTTAAAAAGCATCTTGGAGTCTACACCCACAGTTCAGTGAAATTACACTGCAGTGTGTAACCTTGGGATGTGGCAAGAATTTAGCTGGGTGGGGAGATGTTGATGCTGGAAAGTTCAGACTGCTTTGGAGGGTGGCCATAAAGGGGTTTGGTTGCCTGGATTGCCTTGTCACAAAATGATAAATGTAACTTCTGCCCAGCAAAAGACTTCTGGGTAGTGGAACACAGTTGTTTTAGGCTTACTGGTAATGTGCCCAGCCAGCTCCTGGTGTGGTCTTTGTCTCTGCCTCCTCCCCAGGCCCATGACTTGCCCTGTAGGGTGTACTAGATGCAGATATTCTTCTTCTTTTGTTACTCAGGGTATTTTTATGTGCCTGAAGCATGAGTAGCATTTCTATCAGACCTGTCAAACAGCATGGAAACTCAGAAATATGTTAAAAAATAGAATGGGCTCACTGGCTGGGGAAGGGCAGCTTCTATAAAGTCATGCAAACACCCAAGGAAGCAGCCTCTCCCATGTGCTAATTTAAAACCTTTCTGCAAATGGATGAAGATTTCTACATTAAATATACATGTACATACTATTAATGTTAGATAAATAATTCAGTGCTATAATATCACTGAAAAAAATAGGGTGCTAAACACAGATTTTTAGTAATGCATTGTATATTACATTTGTCTTCATACCTCTATTTACACTAACCTTTTTCTTCTCTATTTTTCAGCAATATATGTTCTTTTCTAATTAAGAAAACTGAAGCAAATTTTTTCTGAAACTATTTATCTTGTTACCAAATGTGAACAATCCCACAGCAATTGCTTTGTACATCCGTCTGTTACATGTAGTCCAGAAAAGTCTGTCAGATTAAAGTTTAACAAGATTAAAGTTCTTGAAACTGGTAGGTTGTAGTAAGGGTCCTTGCTCCTTATGCTGAGACAAGTATTTCCCTCTCCCTCCCAGTTCCCCCAAAGCAAAAGAGAGGAATTCCTCCTATGGGTGAGAGTCTCAGCCTCACTGCTGCTGCAGAGAGCTTGGAGTGAAATAAGCCATCAAATGAGAAAATAAGTGCCAATGTCTGTCTTTTTAAGACCAATAAAGATACAATCCTCATTCAGTTTATTGGAAGCAGTTTACTGGAAACCACCTTTCTGAGGATAGGCACTATCCTAATACCACTAAGGAGGTGGTATTAGGAAGGGCACCAAGGGTCAGACTGGTAGCCATCTCATCAGAGCTGGGGCAGTGGGGGAGTATTATCTTATGCTCAGGATTGAAGGTGGAGGGGTAGTACTTTCCTCCTCATAATGCAGAAATGTTCTTTACCATTGGTTGTTGGGATGAGATCAGCATTTATTGAAGTGCCTTGCCGTGCAGTAAGGTTACATAAATCAGGGCAGCATACTGAGGACTTTTAAAGGCATGTAATAGCCTTGCTTTCCATCACACAGAGATTTACTGTTTGTGCTAGATGTGGTAAATGTAGAGTGCCTTCAGTCAGGGAAGCTAAGACAGCATTTTGTCAGGTGTATAAAGCCCCATCCTTGCAAGCACCATTGGATATGGATGCTGTCTAATCAGATGGGCTTTGACATCGGAGAACTGCCCCCTGAATGTTGCTTACAGATGGAAGATATTGACCTTCAGTGTTCAGTATGTGAAAAGCAACACCTCTTTTCCTGCCAGGGAGATCTCTCTGAAACCCATTGCTGGGTCTTCTCACTGAGAAAAATTACACCCATACAACTGGCAAAAGGATAAGGCCCTCTTACAAAGAGAATCTTGATTCTCATTTTGTTCATAGATTAACAATTATGAATGATTCAGGGTAGGCATGTTGCCATTTTTCTGTGAGGACTCTAATCATGAGGCATTTGTGAATCCTGAATTTTTCATGGATTGTACAATGACTTATTATCAGCCAACATTTTGCATAAAAAAACCCCATAATTTATAATCAGAGCTCACTGTTCCTTGTTCAGATGATTTAATCACCCAGGTGGGACAGAAACAACACACAAAGGTCAATGGTTAATCACACAACCACCTAGGAGGCAATCTACAGAATCCTTTAACATCCAGGCATTATTAATATAAACTGTGCTGAGTGTTATTTATTAACAAATTCCTGTGATCAAGATTGGCTCAGTAATGATTTGCTTCCAATCTGGGTAATTTTCAGATGAAAGGGAAAGGACAGTGACAGAATCATAACTGCAACATGATTACAAGTACATTCTCCCTTCCCTCCCTCACCACCATGGGTTATTAAGGGATAATTGGATATTCTTGTAGGAATGCTGAGAAGCTAAATCTTGGTACAGGTCAGTCAAATGCCCTATCTTTTTTACACAGTAAACTTGAAATTACTGTTGCTATGTGATCGCTTCCAAAATGGCTCTTTTGAAAAGATGCCACAGCTACCAAGATGATGCTTCAGAAATACTGAACATAAGCAAGAGGATTTGGGAGAATTTGTAAGAGTGGATGTCTACCCAGAACATTATCAGTGCAAGGAATATTTATCTATATACATTATCATCAGGAAAGCAAAATACATAGCAGATGGGTAGCAAGGAACATGTGAAATAGAAAACTCTGCCTTGGTGGCTAGTAATTAATGTCAATGTGAATTACTCAGGCAGTAAGTTGTCCTAATGGGTTAATATGATTCCTCTTAGCAATCTTCATCAAACATAAGTTACTCAAAATACTGAGCCATTGCTGTGAAGATCTAGGTGACTTTCTGAGGTCTTTGTCAACACTTTTATTTGCAAATTGATTTTTAATCAAACAATGTTGTATTTGCAGAATGCTGAATGTTAAAGTAATTCCTATTGGATGTGGTTGTAAGGGTTATAGCTACAAATATTTACTTCAGTAAATATGTTATTAATAAAATAGTAAATAAAACATTATTTCCTGCTTATCCATGATGATTAACAGAAAATACACTAGGATTTTACAAATTTGAGCTGATTAGTAACAGGACAAATTTTGTTGCTTATTCTTGTGTTTTATCATTTCATATTACAGGTTTTCTGCAGACTCTTCCAGATTTTACTAACATACCTCAGTGAGTTGAGCTGTATGCCAGTCTTCCTGAATTTGAGAACTGATCAGTAATGAAGACAAGTATTCTGTGTAATGAGTAATAAGTAGAAATCACAGTTGCATCAAATAAAATCATCTGGAGAAGAGCAGTTAGGGAGAAGGTATATTGGGCAAGTTTCTTGTCTCTAAGTCGTCTTCCTTTCAATTTTGTGCTTTATAATCCTGCTAAACTGTTCTTTTGTCTAAGCACCAGCCAGGTACAGCAAAAGAAAATATAAGATGACAGCACTTCTAAACCTCGAGCTAAAATGACAACTGCAAAAGGACCAGAAAGAAAGTGCAGTTTCTACAAGAGAATCCCTGTCATGTCTGCTAATTAATGCCTCTGGCATGCAAACCCCTGTCCGTATCATATTAGGCTGAAGCTAAAGCTGTCAGCTCATTCAGGGCAAGTCATCACAAAGGTTATGAGACTATAATATTCCCTGCACTTCTGTCATGCTGTTTGCAATCCATGGTAGTAAAGCCTGAGTGGGGAAATTACAAAAAAGAGTTGGAAAACAAGAGAACAAAAAAGCAAAATAACATAGCAGTAAGAAGTAACAAGAAACACATGAAAATGAAAACTACCTTCATGTATGTCAATATTTGCCATCTCTAGCAGCATGACCTCCAGAACAAAGACGACGGGTTCCCTGCTGCCTGGTGACAAACAAAAACAAACACTTCCTACACCCCAAGTCTGGCCGCAGAGCTTGCAAGTAATCTCTTATTTATATATTCTGCTCAGGGGATAACCTTAGCTCCAGAGGCGCCTGGCATTTCAGCAGAACAAGCCCCTCTTTGGGAGGCACACAATAGGCGAGCTGCAGGCGAAGAGCTCCCTGCTGCGTTTTGCAGGAAGGGCTGTGATTTCCCCTCTTGCTTTCTCTGCATTTGCGGGGGTATTACAGCTTATTCATACAAAACAAAAGAAGGAATACAGTGCATATGTTCCCACCTTTTACAATCTCGCTTCAGCGCATTTAGCAATTAACATGAGACCCCGTACTGGAGGGAAGACTTGTCACATTCACTCTCCCATCAAAAAATGCATTTTCATAATAATTCCCAGCAAATTAGCCAAATCAATGACTTGGTTGTCATTAGATGAGAATGCAACACAAAATCTCATTAGTTTCCACACTGTCCCCCAGAAGTTCCATTCTTGATGGAATGCTTTTGCCCAAACCATACATGAGGATGAGGTCTGGTGGTGCTTTGTACTAACCCTATCACCCACCGCATTGTCACTCCTGTCTTTGTCCACATCTGCCTGCTCTCTCTGGGCACTCAGACACTGAAACCATCCCTCAATCTTGTATCTCTCTTCAGAAAAGATTAGCTTTTGGCTCCCTAACCTCAAATTCAGCCAAATGAGCTGCAGTAACGGGTGACAGAGACACAAAAGAGGTTCAGCTCAATCAGATGGCAGCCCCATGAGTATTCTTGCACCGAGGCGTTTCCTCCTCCAGTTCTGGGGCGATGGATACTGGACGAGAGGCAGGTGCTGCCCGGGAGGGCCGTGCTCCCGGAGCGGTATGTGCCGCACGCCCGGCTCCCTCTGCTCTCTGCCTGCCTCTGCTTGGGGATGCTGGAAAATGGATTCATTTGCAGATGTAAATAGCGGCTGTCAGAAAGGGCAAGGGATTTGCTTTACATATGAAGAGGGAGGCGGCTCTGCATGCTGTCAGGCTCATTAGAGAAGCAGAGCCCACTAGCTGGGCCATTTGGTAATGATCTACCCACTCCATCCTTCCTTTGTTTCCTTAACAACCCTCTGCTCAGGCCAGATCCCTTAGGCTTTGATATCTTCCCTTCGTAAAAACCCTGTAGCCTCGACCAGCTTTTGAGTTAAGAAATCCAATATACACAGGAAGAATCCATATAACATGAGATATATTTATTTTTACTGAGGAGTAAACTGAGATGGCTACCAAGCCACTTTCATGCACGGAAAATAAAAGGCAACTGATAACCGAGCACGCATCATGGTCACTGCCCACCACAGGTACCAACGGCAGCAACACACTGAGGATCTGTGCTGCTTTTTATTGTCTGGCACACCATTCAGCCAAAGCAAGGTAAAAGGTATGGAACTAGATCCCTTTCTCACTCCCCTCTCCTGGGCCCAAACTCTCTGGAAAAAAGTGTTTCAGCTAGGAGATGAGAGAACCTTGGAAACACAGTTTTGCAGCTTGAATAGATCTTAGATGCTGCTACTAAAAGAAGCCCCCTGCTCTCTTCTCACCCTGAACATTCTTTTCCGTCACCAACTCTAAATCAGCTGTTGCACTTGCATGGCAAACTGCATCAGCTCTCAGCTCCAGCAAAAGATAAATTCTGCAGAATAATAGTGGATTTCAGTAGGACCAACGGGTTGATTGCATTCCTTGCACAGCCGTCTGATCAAACACTATTTAGTGCAAACATGCAGGTGAAGTTGAGAGAGCACAGGTGGAAAAGAACTGAGAGTCTGCAGTCTGCTTCGGGTGGCTGCGTCCTCAGACAGACAAAACTACATTAACTTGACAGGAGCTCATATTGTGTTATGCATCTTGGCCCCCATGGATGCCATGGGCCAGAAGAGATGCAATACAGAGCACACCTGGGAATTTCACCATGTAACTCTGGAGCCAAGCCCACAGCTTTATAAAAACCAATGATTATTAATATGTATGCATATATATATATCAGATTTATTACTGCTAGCACTATGAATCACTGGATTCCTGCAGACTTGTTTCGTAGTTGAAATCAAACTTCGATTTGAGCTTTTTGCATCCTTTACTTTCAGTAGTAGGTTCATTAGGAGTAATATTCATCCCTCATCCCAGTGCCTTGTGTGTCCTTCTAGAGGAGAGTGGGAACACTCATTTCTTATTGGTGTAGTCCTTTTTGTCCTTTATTCTCTGCTATGTTCAGTAATGGCAGGAGTCATATTAAGTGAGCATCAAGTATTCTTTAAAACATTTATGTTGCCTAAAATGAGAATTCTCAAATAATATCCATTGCCCAAAGCATGCTCAAAGAACTTGGGAGATGGTTTAGATTCCTCATTTGTATACAAATACAATATATTGAAGAAGGAAGCAGTAGCATGAAATAAAATGAAATTCCATTCAATTTCCTACAGGTTGCAGTCCATGCTGACCATCCTGTTTTCCAATTTCAGTGTCTCCTTTGAAGTTAATTGTTTGCTAGTGAAAGCCACTGAATAGCAAACGTAATTTAACTCAGGAATAGCTCTTCCTCTGTTCGTCAATTGCCTGTGAACAGCTCCCCCAGCCCAGGAATCTCAAGGTCTCACACTTCCCTGCCATGCATCTCTGATAGGATCTCCTCCCACGGCTCTGTGATGGGACTCTCCTAAGACTGGCTTCAGGCTGCCCTGGAGCACCTGACCTTTACGACTTGAAGTGGCATCTTTTGGTGAATTCAAGGGGTTTCACTTTTTAAAGAGAAGGAGCAAGTGACTTTCTATTTCAGCAGGTAAGGTTTTTGTAAGTTGTTTCTGAATTCTACGGACAGACTTGGATTCCCTTTCTAAAAGGAAAAGAGTGCACTCCAAACTTTTTAACAAAGTCTTAATTTTTAACAGGGATTGAACTCTTCACAGGGTGAAGGTGGGAGAGAGAATTAAGATCCTTTCTTTTTTTTTTTTTTCTAGTCATGCGATAAATGCTTAAAGATAATTTTCTATTGAAGTCCCTTTTCACATCTACACAAATTTGCTTTCACATGCCTCCTCGATCAGGAAGCCATGGTGTCATCATTTTGTCCACTTGGTCGTGATCCACAAGTATAACCAATCAGGATTTCTTACCCATAAGTTACAGCACTTCATCGTTTCTATTAACAACTGCACATTCACTTGTAAATACCACATTCAGGTACAAATGTACAGGAGAATACAAATTTTCTGTAACAAGTCATGCAAACTACATCACTCATGTAAGAGCTCAGGCAAGAATACATTAAAATACATGCAAAACAGTCAAAGAAGTTGGAGATTACTATATTGATGTGTTTATTTTCTTTATTATTCCCTGAGTTGTGGCTTTGAGCTAATAACGTCTTCCCTCTATCGAGAAAGAAAGAATTACATTCTCTAGGAGAAAAATATCATATTACATCCTAAAAAATTCTAATTCTTTGAGTCTCATAAATGGATTTCATATAGCCTCAAATATGTTTTAGTACATAAATGTAAAGAATATTTTCTTGCTTCCCACAAAGAGCTTGGCAAAAACAAACAAAAAACAAAAGCAAACACACAAACAAAACAAAACAAACCTAAGTGGAACAGCTGTTCTCTGAAGACTGCTAACAGCCTGGATAGTACCATTGCTTTTGTGAGGAGAGACAGGAAATAAAAAGGTCAGAACTGTGAGAGGAGTACGAAATAAGTGGAAATCATAGCAGTTCAAAGTTTAATTAATTTTTCCTTTAGTTTATCCTGGAAATGGTAAGACTTTCATATCACCATAGAATTTTGTCCAGGACTTGAATTTAGCTATATTTTTTTCTTAATTCAATGACTTTTCTCTCTCTTGCCCTTCTGTTCTTCTAGTGCTTGGTATTCAGCATGCTCCATTGCCATAAGGAAATGCAGAAGCAGGAAATAAGGGAAACTTAATTAAATTGCAAATCTCCTTAGAAATCTTTGTGATCTACTTTTGCAAGTGAGAAGTCTTTCAAGATTATGCCAATCAACTTTTGGATCCATATCTGAAATAGCTACTGCCATTTTCTTTTATTTTACCATTTCCTCCTTGTATCTCAGCCACTTTCCATTCTGCTGGCCATAGCACAAGAATGCTCCTCACTTTAAGAGTGAAGAGGAGACCATTGGCACTGGGGAGCTGGCAGACTCCACAAAAAACACTGATTTGATAGTTTACTGCTGTAAAGCTATGCAAATCAGTCTCTGAGACATTCCAGAACCAATATGCATTGATAATCACTAAAATCCAAAACCGATCTGGTTTAATCATGACATGCCTTATTAGGTACACATTTCTTTTTTAGTGTGGTGTGAATATGCCTGAGGAAAATTAAGATGCAGTTAACTGCTTCTGTGGAGCATCCCAAGGCAGTGCACTACATCCCTGTCAAATCCATGTAGTTCATATGAGGAATTCCAGTACAATCTCAGACAAATAGACATCTTCTTGTGCATCTTCCCCTGCCTGGTACTTCTGAGTAAAACCAGCATGCAGGTCTCTGGATCATGCTGCAACCAGGCCAAATTCACACTTGGCCAGACCCTCAAGAGGAACCAAGATTTCAGCAGGAATTAAGTCTGTCTGCTCTGCTTGAATAAAGCCTTTGCTCCTTTTACAACAATTTAGAGGCTGCCTGGGACTAGAGGCATGCTTTTCAAAAGAAAATAGCTTTAAATATACTCCCTGGTAACTGGAAGGTAATCCTACACAAATAATAAAGACTTGGCTGTGAAAGTGTTTTTTCCCCTGCTTGTAACTCTCCTGACAGAAAAAAAAAAAAAAACTTGATGCAAGATTAAGTCTGCAGTACCTGCACCTGCACTTGTAGAAAGTGAGATCCTGTCCCAGTGAAAGTCAGTGGGAATTCTGCTCTCACCTCCAATAAGGTCACTGTTTCTTCCTGTGAGCAGTCAGACTAATGAAAGGGACTGTGTACAAATCAGCTACTCCACAAATGCAAAT